ATTAAAGCATATAAATATAAAAGATAGGCTAACATTATAATTAAAATGTTATGATATAGAGTACAATTAAAGTGTCCTAATCTCTCAAACATGGATAAGGGAAATTAGACAATATATTGCAGAATATGGGTAAAGTAAAGATATTATGGTTCTTGAATAGAACGTAATTTTTCACATACCTCATCCCAAGACTTTTTCGCAAATTTGAGACGCAAACGACCATTACCTAAAATCTTTGTGATAGTTTCAGAGGACTCAATAGGTGTTGTGGATGGGTTTGACATGACTTCACGTGGAAGGTAACGATTTGGGCAAACTTTTGCAGTATGACCCTCATGGTTACACAGTTGACAAGTTGCTGCATATCGGTGTGGGCATATAGTAGTTAAATGTCTGGGAATATCATATATTTGGCAGACAACGTTCCCTTCTTTTTTAGGTAATGGAATATCTTGAGGCATTGCTATATGATTCCTTGCTTTTGTCAACTTTTTCCTTGGAGGAATTCGAGATGGACAATCCCATAATGATTCTGGAGTATCTTCAACAATTGCTAAAATTAACATTAAATTAAGTAATATGTTAGTAAATGGTATGCACCTACATGAATTAAAAAGTTATGTGAGGGAAAAAGAAAAAGAAATTATACCATTATATTGGCTGTCAATATATGGTTAACTGTCCACTTTGCTGCCAAAGTCTGGTTGACTGTTCGAAACGTAGCTATCAAAGTAATCTTGATTGTCCATTTTCCTTTATAAGTAATCTTAACTGTCCATTAATTAACATAGTAATTTATAATCAATTAATTAATTAAATTATTCAAAATTTACTTTGTAATTAAATATGCCATTATGATTTAATTAGTCATAAATTATAATCATTATATTTAATTAGAATTTTTTAATGAAGTAAACAATTTAATTAATTATAAGTTACTTAACAATTAAAGCATATAATCATAATTCTCTAATTAATCAATCAGTAATCATTATTTATCATCCATAAAAAAAAAAAATGAAATCATACTTTTATAATCAATTAAGTAATAAACATATTTTTGTTTACTTAGCACTTAAATATGAAATTATAAATTATTAATCAATCAATTATACATTCTAATTAATTATAGTTTTTTAGCAATCAAACAATTAATAAATTATAGTTTATTTAACAATTAAATCATATAATCAATTAATTAATTAAGGTAATCAATATGATTATTATTTAATTGAATAATAAAATCAGTATTTTATAATAAATTATTTGATTTATTTAATCA